GGTGCTGGTGCTGGTGCTGGTAGTGGCGGCGGTGGCGGTGGTGGGTTCGGGGTTTGGTGGTGGGTTTCGTGGTGGCGGTGGCACTGGCGATGGACTCCTACAACAACACCAAAACCACTGCTACGACTACAGCTGCTACTACTACTACTAGTACTATGCCACCACTAGTGCTGCTACTATTCCTGCTACAAGGAGGAGCGCTGGTGATAATCGATTACACTACTTAGTGTAGTGGCTTTAGACTTGAATTAAACTTTAGACTACTGCATGCTTTTAGGGCTTGGCTCCAAGGGCTAGTACTAATGATGATTGTGCAGTTAATGCCAACAGCAGTCGTCGTAAGAGCAACAGTAGAGGTACTAGTAGTAGTAGTAGTAGTAGTAGTAGTAGTAGTCAATAGTAGTAATCATAGAAATAACAGAAAAGTATTAGTAACACCTTAAGCCTTAAGCCTTAAGCCCCAAACCCTAAAAAGTCCTAACATTAATTAATCCCTGAACCCTTGCCCTTGCCTGGCAACAGCCAGCGCAGACGTGGATCGGCGGTCCTGTCCAGAAGCAGGGCTAAGACTTAGGGCCGTATAGGAGGTTTAGGCTTAGGCGGTGTAGGCATTAAATGTTGCGGGAGGTCACAGGGTGGCTTGAAGGCTTGAACAACTAGCTAGCAAACTAGGTCATATAGGTCCTATAGATAGCCTATAGGTCCATACTAAATACTATAGGTAGTCGTTCGTAGTAATAATATGATGCATAATATATAATATATGATATATTAAATGTATTATGTTATGTCATGTCATTGTCAGGATGTATTTATATTATACAATAGAATCGAACATATAATGATGGCTACACTGCTGCTATTGAGCGGCTATTGACTATTGAAATTGTGATACGAACTAAACTAACAACTAGCAACTACTAGAAAGCAAGTGTAAGTCTGAGCTATCACCTACCAGCAGTTATCAGGTGACTGCAAAAAAATCATAAAGGTAGCTGCTGAAATGTCTGGGTTTGGGGGAGTTTTGGTTCGAGTCTCATGACTGAAGTTGATAGTAAGGATAGTGACGACATGATCCAACACTCTGCGACTACGACGATTACACAGATAATGCCTACAGCACAAGCCAGTTATTAACTACAATTACACCACCAGCATGTCTCTAGTCACTAGTCACCAGCTCAAAAAGCATGCCAAAGTCACACACACAGACAAACCTTCGGGAAGCGCGCAACTTGTTTCCTGCTTCACTCGGAAGACTCGTCTGCGCGGTCTGGGTTTGTGCAGGAAGGCTGCATCAGCAGCTACGGCAACAAACCCGGCCGAAGGCCAAAGGCTGCGGGGCAAAGGCTGGGCTGAGCTATTATAAAGGATTACATGATACGGTTATACGATGCATAGCCGAAAGGCCTAAGGCCTAGTAAAGCCAATACCTAAGTCGCTGACGATACTAGGACACTCGGACCTAAGGCCTAAGGGCTCGAGGCTTAAGGCTGAAAACCTTAGGCCTTCGGAGATTCTCAAAATGCCCTCCCGATGCCCTTTAGCCATTGGCAAATTGTGTGGCCGTTGTCAGCCGCTACTTGCGCGGTGCATAGGCGTAGCCACGCTGGTCAGACCTAGGCGGGGCCAAAAGGGGACGGCCCCCCCAATACTTCTGAAGCCACAAAGCCAAGCCGGTGTTGGCGCGAAATGCGTGGTCCACAACGCCGGCGGAACGCCCACCACCCGGAGAGTTTATCATGCTCTCGACCATGGCCCAGGCCTGCTGGTCCGACCCGGCCGACGCATAAAGGCCCCAACACAACCTTTTGGTCAGCCACCACTGACCTCGGCTGGCTGCCACATGAAAGGGTGTCTGGCCATTGGTGGACCGGATGGAGTAGGACGCCGGCGTCAAGGCCCCCTGTAGTGCCCACAAACAGTGGCGGAACGGGTCTGTGTCACACCACTTATCACATATCACCATGAGCGCCGTCCAATGCGGTGGCTTTCCATCGGGCCTCGTGGTCACATCCGCCAAGTGGCGATTAATCTGGATCACGCGCTCGACGACGGCTGGAAGCCCCAATCTGCACGCATGGTGCAGCAGGGTCAAGCCGTTGTGGTCGGAGATAGTGAGGATATTGGCAGGCGAAACATCGTCCAGGAGCCTCAGGGTGTCCAGAGGCGCCGCACCCAGCAGCGTGCACATGACCTGGTTCGCAAAGGCCTGGGTCATAGCCTTCTCGCTCTCCCTGGCCAAAGCAGCCTGAGCCTGTAGTCGCTGCTCTTGCATCAAGATGACGAACCGCTGCAGGATTTCCCCGGACGCAGTTTCGGCCACATTCTTCATGATATCCTCCAAGTCATCCTCGACCATGATCGGTTCCTCTGCGGGCTCGCCCTCCTCCTCCTCATAGTCGTCAGGGTCGTAGTCCACCTCTTGCTCGAACGGGGCCGAGCCTCAGGGTTTGCAGAGTCGATCGCCACACTATGCGCTATGACGAACTACATATGATGATGACCATTATACTATAGAGCTATACTATAAGCTTATATCTTATACTTATACTGCTACGCCTTATCGCCTCAACCGTGATAATGAAACGAGCCCGAGCCCTAGAAACCTTATGCCTTATGCCATAATAATGGCCATAATGCCTTATCATAACATAACTAACCGTGACATAACCGTAACCTTCATCTACGAACCAGCCCTTACATTGCCTTACAGTTTACAGCCTGAAAGATAAGTCATAGGGCCATAGGGTCATAGGGTCACATACGGCCATAAGTCATACATAAGGATCCCGTCGCAAAAAAAAGTTAAACAAAGAACGATCCCGCCTTGGGCTCGATCCTCGTCTTCTACTTCCACCACCTCTTCTTCTTCTTCTTCTCCTTCTGGTTTTGGTTCTTCACGCTCCAATGAGCTCTGGCCTGAGCCCGTCCCACCATCACCCGCCCCGAGGGCATCTGGCGATCCAACGGGGTTGCCCATGAGCTTTGCATCCAAGTTGCGGAGCTCTTGCATGAGCATGCGAATCTTCTCGCGGCGAGTGGCGGGATCTTCAAGCTCATCGTTCACAAAAGCGAAGAGGTCTGAGTCGGATGCCATCTCATCAAGGTTCTGTAGTCTCACATAGCTCGTACTAGAACCATAGCCATCCTCTGAGCGGTGGTAGTCAGAGTCGGGGTTGTTTTCGCTGACCATTTCGAAGCTCTCAACGGCTGATGTGTCTTCACCAACTGCAACGAGGAACTTCTTTCGCCTCTTCGTCTCGGACGTCGTGGTGCCTTCCCCTGCGGAGCTCGCGCCAGACTCCAGGGGCTTGCCATCATCTTTAGTTGGACTGAAGCCGAGCTCCAAGCATCGACGCCTGAAGCCAATGGGTGTGAGCAGCTCGTTGGCATGATCGAGTGGCACAAACCCGGCTGGAAGAGCCACTGCCCTCACCCGCTCTGAGAGCCCAGCAAGCGCGTCGATGGGCCGTGTGCTCACCTGGCGGTACTTCGTGGGTGGTGCGCGCGACTCGAGGTCCACTATGTTGCGGGCTGAGTTCAGGAACACATGAATGTCATTCGGCCTGGCATCGCTAAGCATGCGAAGAAGCACCACGCTGCAAAGTGTTGCCGAGCGGTGTGCGCCATTGCGGCAATATATCAGCACACTGTGACCCGCCACAAGGGCCTCGACAATTTGGTCGACCACGGTCATGATCTTCTCGAAGGGGATGTCATTGTTCGCGAGCCCTGTGCCATCGACCACTGTCAACTGCTTGATGTCCATGCTCTGTGCGCTGCATGGCTTGCTGGCTGCCGGCGCCAAATACGTGATCTTGTTCTTGCGCAAAAGCTGCAGGTTAGACGCTGCAGCTTCGCCGCCCAGCCACAATTTCCCACCACAACCCGGCGAGAATGCCGCCATGTCGAAGACAAGGCTCATCGGGTGCCTGGCAGACACGACTGGTGGAGTTGCTTCGGTTTTAATCAAGTAGTTGGCTGAAGGGTTCAATTTGGGTCACATATCATATGTTTGATGTTTGGGTATATAGTATAAACAGTATAAACTGTATATTTGGTTCAGGGGTGGGGTCGATGTTATAGCTCAGAGTTTCTGGCCTGCTAGTTAGGATATATAGGATATAGGTCCAGGTTCTTACACTCCTGCGGCTTCTCGAGCCTCTCAAGATCATAAATCATAAGTCATAAAATTATGGACTCACTCCTAAGTCAAGCCTCATGAGAAACGTAAGTTGTACATTTAAAATTTAAAACATAACTTTGACTCTGACTGATAGCCCTATGGTCCATGGTCCTATGGTCCTATGGTCCTATGGTGATATAGGTGCAAATACCAAACCCTAACTCAAACACTGCCATACACCATACTCTCAATCGACGACTTTGAACAAGCCCGCCTGTCATTGTACGCGTCTCGTGCCTGGCGAGCAGCTCGAACACCGCCATAGGCCTCCGACACGAGGCACTGTCGAAGTGCCTCTGTGGCACGAAGGAGCTTCTCATCCGAACGGAGGCTTGGACCAGGCCAGAGGCCGCGAACGGAGTCATGACGTGCATCCTGGCTTGAGAAGAGCGAACTGAGCCCATGTCGACGGACGGCTTGATGACCGACCATGATGCCAAATAGCTGTACAACTGTCTGGGCCGGGGTGCGACCCCAGAGCCAAGAGCTGCAGGGTCAGTCAGACTCGCAGCTTGCAATCGCACTTCACAAATCGCTGTCTTCACTAGTTCTCATGCACTGACATCAAAAAACTTGTAACTTTCGCAGCATGACATCATTACCACAAACTTTGCCACAAACCATCTCACCTACCTACCACCACAAATGGACATCGCTCCTTCAACCTGTGCAAGACATGACATGAGCAGAAGTGGGGTCCTGTCCATGGAGCAGGGAAGAACTTCATGAACTCGTCCACGGCCGTTGCGAAGCCCTGCGCTGGCTGCTCGTCTTCACCTTGCGGCAAGTTCAAGGCGACAAGCTTTAGCAAAGCTCTGACGGCAACGCGGGCACGAGCCCACTCCTCCTCCAATCCCTCTGGCTCCTCTTGCAAGATGACAAGCCTCGAGGGACCTGAGGCTAATACTGCCTGTACCTTCTGCCCAATCGTACGCATCCAGGATCCCTGCCTCATGGACTTGGCTATTGCGAAACAACCCGGCAGAATGCCTAGTAGCTTTGTAACACGCTCAATCACGTTTCCGTTGCGATGCTGTGCGCACAATGTACAAACGACAGCAACATCTGGAGGAAGCAGCGCGCACAAGTGCCTCAGCAGCTTCAGGTTAGCAGGGCCTGCATCGCATGTCACAAGTACAGCACGAAACTTTGCATTCACGGATGTCACACCCGGCCACAGGCCAGCAGGGCCTGCAGACAAGACCGGCCACATGGTAACAGCTTTCTTGGTTGGCAAAACACAAGGTGCACGAACAGCGTCCATATCAATAACTTCACCACGACCACAATATGTAATCTGACCATGGGATGCTAGCACTGACCAGGCTGCTTCTCCATGAACCCCCATATTTAGTTCAAGCTCTGTCTCGTCGAACATGAGGTTGATCAATGCGAAATCTAGGGGGGCACCTGTGCACAGATGCTGCAGCCGATGAAGACTCTGCGAACTATGCTGGCTCTGTCCCTCCTCGATGCACTCTGCGACGAACAACCTGGCAGCCAAAGTAGATGCAGCACTTGCACCGTCCACCTGACTGGCAGCATCGCGTGCACTCATACTACCCGGCGAGAAGCCTGCCCTTAAAATGGCATCTGGGGTCCATTTCTTCCAAGCACCTTTGCCTTTCACCTCGGAACGGCTAGCACGGCTGCTCACTGGCATGATATGATCTTCTGTTCTTCCTCTCCCAGACCTGTTAGCCGACTGAGCTTGCAAGCGAAAAGAGGCTTCAACTGTGCTTGTTCGTCGCTGCGCACCTTCTACCCGGCGCAAACGCCTGCGGCGGCCTACGTTCGGCGGGGCAACATGACCTTGTGGCCGCTGCTGTTGTTGCTGCACGAGCCTGGCTAAACGTTGCAGTTCCATTGCAGCAAAATCAAGACGTGCTAATCATGTTTGAGCCACACAATGCGACACGAGCCGTGAGACTCTGCAAGACTTCAAGAAATCTACTAAAAACCGCTGAATGAACAGTACAAGCAGTCATCATGACACCCAAAAAATGGCTCAAACAATTGCCGAAACAATTTAACCAATATTTCTGACACTAAAAACAATACTTCAAACAATTGTCGGAATATTTCAACAATATTTCAAACAATTGCCGAAACATTAAAAGAATGTTTGTAACAATGTTTTTGCAAACCGAAACTTTGTAACAATGTTTGTACGCGATTTCGGGGGTTAAGCCAAACCGGGGCTTCTAAAAACACTCAACTTTAGAACGACTGAAGAGTGGAATTTGCTGGTTTTCCCAGGGTTTGATAGTGTTGACTGTAGTGCTGACTGTAGCGTTGACTGAGTGTTGGCTGCCATGTTTAATACAGCAATATGCTGGATTTTCCGGCTGCGTTGACTGTCGGCTGTTGTCGTAGCGTTGCCTGAATCGTGGGCAAGTCAACGCTTCAACTGCAGGCAATGTCGCGAGCACATGGTGGTGCTCAAACAAACAAGTTACACTGCAGCCGCTGTCGCTACCGTAGGCTTTATCCTTTTGCATTTCAGCCGGAGGCATCCACACGCCGTAGCTTCGGCCAGCTCCGCTACCACGAAAATGGAGGAAGCCATGCAAACACTTTTGCTCAGACCGAGTGTCGCCTTGCGTAATTTTGAACCGTACCTAGCAGCATGCCGCGCCCAGGAACTTGCGGTATCGCATTCTTGGACATTGTTGGGCTAAGCTTATGCAAAGGATGTGTTACCCGTCACAGGAAGCATGGTAATGTCTATCATCTCAACAGAAGGATCCTGC